TTTTTTATTTATTAATTTTTATATTAATCAATTTTGCATAATTTTCCACTAAAATTGTTTTTACCATCTGCCCTAATTTATAGTTATATTGAAGTATGTAAAAAAATGTGCTAAATCCATATACTTGCATATATATTTATGTGTGTATATGCTAGCACGTACTATAGCTTAGTAAATATGCGCGAATTTTTGCGCAAAAATTTCTTAGACCACTACCGACAGCGACTTCCTGCTCTACTACTCTGCAGATACACACACAGCGACAGCCACACGAATAAGGCGCTTTCCGTTTCTACTTTGTTTCGCCACATTTTGCTCTCAACACCACCTCCGCGCTTCACCACCACCAGCCACCATCTGTGATTTCGCCTTTCGCTTGAAGTTATAAATTCAAAAAGCTATTTGTTATAACTGTAAACACTATGGTGGAGACGGCGAGTGGAGTGATGCGATGTATCGATGCAGTGCTATTGCCAGCCAGTATTTCCGCTCGCTTTCGCATGCGTTCCTAAGGCGGAAGAGAAAGAACAACAGAATATACATATTTATATTTATTTATGTAAAAAAGGATTAACTACCCTATACTACAATATACAATATTTGTATATAAAAGTGAATAAAATATTACCTGATATTTATTATCCTCTCCGGGCGGATCTAAACACTCGAACTCACAACAGCGCTCGCCTACACGGAAATTTTTACAGAACTGCAAATCAAAATTATAAGTAATTACCACGATTAACCCTTTATGTGTGTATGTATATTTGTAATATTTTATTTACATAGGGTGGATCACAGTAGATGGCCTTGCACCAAAGCGGCTCTGAGTGATAGCAGACACACAGACTGCAGACGCCCGGTCCGGGCACATACAGCATGCCATGATTAACGGAATTGCCCTGGAAATCAATGCAGTCCTCTTCGAGGGCAGCTGTGGAGAGAAATATGAGTATTTATGAAATCATTTTTAATAGCAATAAGTTAAGTTTCTAAACAAAATATATGAGATTAACATAAGAACACTAAATTTAAACATAGAGTTCACTCTTTTTTTTTATTATAGTGGAAATCATTATGATAAACTGCCATTACTATTTAAATAATAATTGTTATATTCAAGTTCCAAGAAATAACAATAATCTACAGTAGAATCTATTGACAAGATATAGAGTTTCATACAGAAAAATCTTCTCAATTAGTTTAGGATAGTCAAACCCTTTATCTATGCTTATTAAAACACGATTAGCTGACAAAATTACTCAGCAGAACATCAAAGTTTTATTATAACCTGAAAGGAAATTATCAGGATCTCTGATATCTTCTTAGGATTTACTACTGGCTGGCTTGACTTCACGAAAGCTTGGTGAGCTTTTTTGCATTCTCTAAGTTCTTCCAGTTCGAGATAAACTACGGGATTAATTAGTTCACCGGTAGGAACTTTTGCCTTACCCCAGGTATGAGGTTCAACCAGTCAGTACTCAAATAGAATATACATGGTTAAAAGTGTCTCACTGGATCCCAGTTATTGAATGCGTTAAGTTGAATACGAGGAAGAACATCTCAATACTTTCTGCTTGTCTGCCATATCTCAACAAGGTCTTGTATCTCAAACCTTCTAAAATCACAATGAACTAGCGGATCAAGGATTAGCTTTGTCGGTACGTGTGATACAACTACGATAGTTTTCTGCCTACCAAGTGTTATTCCCATCTCGGAGACCAGCCTGAGAACCTCACCTGTCATAACTTAAGTCGACGTAAAATTTGTTGTATAAATGAATTGAAAATAATTTCAATAATTCAATAATTTCAATTTATACTCAATGACTGTTGATCTCTCAATCCGGGGTTCGGGACGATTTTCGTGAATTGTTACAAAAAAATATCCTCAAAAAATGATGGCAGAGCATTCGCTTTCCCGGAGAATTTCGGACCTAGGAATAATTTTTCCTGATCTCTCCTTCTCTCTCCTTCACTGTTTAACTACAATAACATTTATATAGCTTAAGTTGAAAAATAGGTAAATAGGCATTAAAAAATATCGAATTGATCCTCTCAAACTTTAATACACACGATGAAGACGAGAATATCAACTATTACTCAAAGCGAGTTTTAAACAAATAAGCTTTTTTGAACATTGTAGGATAAATGCTCCAGAATGGATAAGGGAGCGAAGCAAATGGGTCTAGTAGTGAACGAGGGCAAGACGAAATATCTTCTGCCAGCAACCAAACTATCGTCGTACTCGCGACTTGGCTCCCACGTCACTGTTGACAGTCATAACTTCGAAGTCGCAGATAATTTCGTCTATATTGGAACCTGTATTAACACCAACAAAAATATCTGCTTAAAATCCAACGCAGAATAACTCTTGTTAACATATGCTACTTCTGGCTGAGTAGGCAATTGAGAAGTAAAATCCTCTCTCGACGAACAAAAACCAAACTCTTTAAGTCACTCATTATTCCCGTCCTACTACATGGTGCAGAGCCATGGACGATGACATCTGATGAGTCGACGTTACGAGTTTTTGGGAGGTTCTGCGGAAGCCATGGCGAATTCCACATTTGATGGAATAGACGGATGCTATATGAACTATACGACAACATTGACATATTTCAGCGAATTAAAAGGCAGCGGCTACGCTGGCTAGGTCATGTGGTCGGAACGAACAAAAACACCTTAGCTCTGAAAGTTTTGGACGCAGTACCCGCCAGGAGAAGCAGAAAAAGAGGAAGACCTCCACTCCGTTGGAAAGGCCAGGTGGGGAAGGTACGAAGGCTATGTATGGCGTGACATTCAATTAATAGTTTTCCTAGTACGAACTTTTAGGCATATAAACTGATAAACGCAATGACGTATGCTTTTTGGGGATCTTGAAAATTTCTTTCTTATCAAGCTCAGAGGAAACTTTACTGACTTTACGTCACTAGCTTATTGAACTATCTCTATATTAAGTACTGATATGATGACAATTGTACCTACAATCAATACAGGAAGCATCTAATAACAAATACGCGGTTCAACAAAGGTGAGATTCGCTTATCAAACAACAAACTGTATAGTGTACGATCCGGTTAAAGTTTTCAAAAACTGCGCATGAAGCTAAACCGAACTAGATTACAGTTACAAAATGTTAAAAATAATCAACACCAGTCACTAATGAAATTATAACACACGATCTGTCAAACAACTGTTGGGAATGTGCGCTCGCTGTGCTTCCAAAGTTTAAGGTCAACACAAATATTTGTTTTCCTTTTGCGCACTTTGTTGTTAGTTATCTCTATCTGGGGAATGCTTTCGAATAATAGGCTATTTCTTGCCGCCATCAACAAGCCTTTAAGTTGCTTTGACACCAACAACTCGGCCAGCCACTGCACCATGGAGTATTGAGTCAATTTCAAACGTCGAACAGACAAACGAAGCGGCGCTAGACTGTGCGACTATATATGTACAAAGCAGCGGTGGGAGGGCGACACAACATGCTGTGACGCGGAGTGAGGCGTGTCGTGGACCACATCTGGTTAATGGTGTTGACAAAAAGACAAACAAAATCAGCAAGCGAAAATTGGGTGAACGCGTTGAGTGAGCAAAAAGTGTCCTGAGAAGCGTTGCTTTGTCAATGTATAAACGAACACGAACATTAGCACATATGTGACACACACACATACAGCTTTATGCAAGTGAAAGCCATTATCTGCACTTGTTTATGGGAGGCAAATGCATTTCCGATGCGAATCAGACGCCTTGCACGTGTTTGTTTTCGACTGCTGGGTGCAGTCAGGAGCAAGAAGGATGTGTCAAGCGGCACACTTGACGCACTCTCACTCTCTCGTAGAGAGCGCTCGCTAACCGCACGTGGTTTTGCGCAAACGCGGCGAAAAGCGAACTTTCGCTGTCGACCGAGCGGCGGCTCGAACTTGGTTTGGTTGCAACTTTTACTGTTTTACGCTGTTGTTGTTTTTGCTTTCCTTATTTTCGGCTTGATGTATGCCGACAAACCAATAAATAGCCGCATGGAGCCGAACAGATGTTCCGCGTTCGCTTGCATCCAAGTGCTGTTGTTTTTGGCGCAAATTATGTGGGGGTAAGGCCTAATGCGGAATGTGGAGTCTCATAGTGCACAGCACACGTCCCGCGTACCCCTATTTGCCGTGTCGTTCAATTACATAGTGCCCGCGGTGAAGGTGATGTTTTACGTAGTCACCCGTTGGCTTGTCTCAGCTTCGCCCAGTTGTGCTGAGATTTTGCTGGTGTTGCACATTCACCGATGCCGCTGTTGGCCCTGTTCATAGCCTAGTGTCGTCTAGTTGGTGCTGCTGTTGGCGTCTGCTGGTCGCTTGCACCTTCGCCGCCCTCAGCGTCGCCAGCATGCCGCTGATTTTGTGCCAAATTGGAAGGCGCATAGGTTGCGGTTACTCGGTTAGTTAGTGCCGCAGTTGGTGCAAGCGTTTTTCCCTCTTCTTTCACATTTAAGCGCGTAATGGTATAGTCAGACTTTATATTATAAATTGACGCTGAATTAATTTTGGCTTAATTTCATGTGAAGTCCTTGATCTTGTAATTTACGATGTCCTCAGTTGGATTTATAGGACTTTCAGCTTTAAACGGACCCCTGTGGCTGAGTAGTTACGGTTGAGGGCTTGTCAAATTCCGCCTCTGAAATATTATATATTATCGAAGATTTAGCATTGCTTGTCGGGAGTTCAATAAATAATGATGATGTTCGACCAAATACTTCCTTTTTGACTGTTTCAATCTTCCCGTCCGGTCTTTTTTACGAATCTGCTGGCGGCGTGATAAAATATCAACGAAATCAACTGAGCTGACCAAGCAGGCGCTAACAATCCTGCAGCTTTCATAAAATAGGAATCACCAAAACAGCTGATTCTGTAGCAATTTCTATATCATAATTATCAGGTTGACAATAGAACCGAGTGCCGGTTTTGACTGCGTCGATAAGCCTTCGCCAGTCGTCACTTCATTGCGCATGATGGCGACAGTTTTGAATTTAAAGTTTCGCTATGTTTCCAGCACTCAATTCTTTGGTCTGAGTTTGTGTAGTCTTTTTCTTTTCCGACATATAGGTGTTCAGAATTTCAGTATTTGGAAACTGGACCGTTTTTTTTTCCATTCAGACAACATGGCCATTCCAGTGTAATCTCTGTATTTTAATGCTAGGACCATATCGCCGAAGAGCTCGTATACCTCATTATTAAACTGAATCCAGTCCTTTTCTAAGGGGCCAAAAATGCTTTGAAAACTTTTTCCCGAACGCTCCTACAGAAAACTAATCGATTTTTATCATCATCCATGTTTCTGCATCATACGGTAGAACAAGTCTCATGGCAGTCGGATCTTAGTAACCGGAATGGACCTGGATTTTTATCCAGCCAAGGACTGCCAACAATAACAAGTCTTATGAGTGTTTTACAGAACGTTAATTTTTTTGTTACGCGAGAGAGAGTTCTATTTTTCCATTGCTTGCTAAGCCCATTATAGAACCTAGATAGACGAAAACTTTCACGATTAAGTGTGAAACTCGGTAAATATACGTTTGATATGATTAATCAGGCAGATGTTGCTTTTGCCGGAAAGAAGTCGCTGATGAAGGCCGTGCTGGGAGAGCTGCGACTTCGTCAAACACCGACAATGTGACGCGTGTGCGCAAAGTTTAGAACTCAGACCGTCGACTAAGTGCATATTCGCTTAATTGCCTATATGTTAAATTTATCAAAATCTGTGGTTCATGACATTGTGATGGAGCACTTGAAAATGCGCAAAGTTACTGGTCCCAAAAATTGCTCATTGACGACCAGAAATTGAGGCGAGTGATTGAGAAGTGTGCACGGAAATCGGAACATGTATGAAAGTGAACACCAATTTTTGAATAACGTAATCACAGGTGACGTCTGCTTTTTCCGGACTGGAC